TTGAGGCTCCTTCTATACCACGCTTTTCACTCTTCAATCTACTTTACTTGGTCGCTGAATCACCACTCATCAACACTCGTACCACCACTCTCACTGACCACCTCACTCCACCATGCGTCGAGTACCACGAAGAGCAGCCTCACCCACCCCAACCACCCGAGTCCTCCGCTCGCAAACTAATCAAGCAGCTTCAGAAGCCCACGCCACCAAGGTCACCAAGCCCATCAAGAAGCGTCGCCCACGTGCAGATCCCTGGGCGAAGAAGCGCAAACCAAACCCCAACCCCAGACCGCGCAAGCCACCGCCCACCCACTTCACATGCCGCATCTGCATCGAAGAGCAACCCACCGATGAGTTTGTCAAATGGGTACCACCGAAGCGCGGCCGCTGGCAGCAACACCTAGACGTCCCCTTCACCTGCATCGCCCACCTAGCCCGGAACCCCAGCAAACGGAAAATCGACCCCGTCTGCAAGACATGTATCGGCAACTTCCTCTCCGCAAAGATGGACACGCTCGGTGTGCGCCAACTCGGCGCCGGCTGTCTAGAACCCGGTTGTACGGAGCCCTGGGACCACCACTTCATCCTACGCTACATGCCTCCCGGTGACGCGCTCGAGAAGTTCAACATGGAAATGCTGGAAGTGTGGAAAGAAACTGCGAGTCCTAAGCCAATGACCTGTCTTTCACCGACATGCACTGCGATCGGTTTGCCAGATGCGACGGCGGCTGGATACCCGCAAGTCGCGTGCAACGACTGTGCTTTCCGGTCTTGCGCCCAGTGTCTTGTCCCGTGGCACAAGGACGTTACGTGTGCGGAGTATGCGGCGAAGCATGTGGATGAGAAGATGAGTGATGCCGAGAAAGAGACACTCAAGCTCATGCAGGGTAAAGATGGAAAGAGGTGTCCGAATTGCCAGTTGGTTATCGAGAAGGATGGTGGCTGTGATAGCATGGTAAGACTCTATGTTCCGACTTCACAATACTTTGCTAACTTACGGATAGTTCTGCGTCGGATGCCACAAATACTTCAACTGGGCAAGTGCCGCTTCAGCGTTGACTGGCGCTAAGAAAGCCGAAGCTCCTTACATCCGCGACATGCCGTACTGGCTTCACGATGGTATGGTCGTGTGCGAGATGGACGGTATCAATGGACTGGACGGGACTACTGGTGCGGTTGCTGCGGCGTCAGACAGCATGGTAGAGGGATGAAGGGCAATCTTGAACTGGCGAGGCTATGACTGTTATGATTACGAAGGAATATGCATTATTAACATATTGTGTACTTGCGACATGGGTCCTGGCATGGAGTGTATTGGGTCTGGACATATGTTGTTAATGTCCAACAGTATTTTATAGCTGAACTTCAGCACATCACAATCACTCATACACAATGATGCCATCAATGGATCTGCCAGAGCACTTAGGCCCCAAATGGTGTAGATTTTTGGTTGTACAGAGTTTGCGTATTAGTTACAGAATCCCAGCTCGCAGCCACGAGTTTCCTCTCTTTCCCGGTGTTTGTAAAGCAAATTGATACTCCCTTCACTCTCTGTGACTCCAAATCGCGCGGACGAATACCACCTGTCCCGCTCGTCGTGAAACGCCATGTGATGCATTTTGAACGCCAACCAACGCCAACTGCAGAATGGGGGTGATGCATTATGGTAAAAGTGGGTGATCAAACCTTCTTGTAGTGTTTTTGTGACGCGCTCTGCGGCGGTCTTTTCCTACTTTTTTTTCTTTCTGGTTTTGTCTGTTAGAGGCCCTCGGATGTACGGATACGCACCTGCACCTGATGCGGCGTCGGATCGCAAGTCCGGAGGCGTCTCTAGTTCGATCGATAAAGACCCGTGTAATCAGGCAGGCAGGTTGCTAACGAGCCGTACCTTTTTCGGCGCGTGAGGAAGCAGCCGGAACTGAAGAGAAGAAGAATGTCAGAAACCCCAGGAATATCAAGTGAATGATGGAGAGTAGAGAAAAAGCGAACATGTGCTAGCTTAGCTGAAAGCGAACTTATGCTGCCGCTGGAGTAGCGACTCCATTGGTAGCCAGTTCGGCCTGTCGACGCTTTGCTGCCGAATGCTCGCTGTCCTGTATTAGCACAATCGTCAGCATAATGGCGTATGATTACTCTCGGGACGCGGGTGAGCGTCGAGAGGATTTAGTGAGGCGTGAGTCACGCACGTCAATGCCTGTATCGGCGAAGTGGCGCTTAGCACTTTTCGCGTCCTTCTTCTTCTTGTCTTTGCTAGGCTTTTTCGGTCGGGTCTCTCCTTCGACGAAGACATCATCGGGAAGCGCAGTGCTGACAAGTTAGCAATTGCCTTGGGAGTGGATGAGCGTTATACTCACTTGCGCGTATGGACCACCTTAACCGACATCACTTTGTCATCGTAAAGGTCGGAGTCGGTGATGTAGCTCCTGAATTGACTCACTGGGTAGGAGATGTCGAGCGACTTTGTAGCATCTACACCAAAGGTTAGCTGTGCAACATGCTGGATAATTTCGACAAACGTACCTGGGGGCAAAGTAAGACCAATGTAGAAGGTCGTCGTGTAGATGATATGCTGCTCGCCATTCGCTGGCTCAGTACCCTCAGCGGGAACTTCGGATGCCGGTATCATATACTCGAGAGAACCCTGCGTGACCTCATGGAACTGATCGTCTTTGCAGCGGTGGAAGCGTTCAAAGTAGTGAATGTACGGGCGGGCGGTGTCGATGCCCGTTTGTCCATCGTCGATGCCCTTGACAATATGACGGATCTTCGACTGTACCAGTCCGGAGAAGGTCGAGTTGGCTTCCTTAGTCCGACTCGCGGCAACGACACTGAGGTAGTATTTGTGGTCTTTGGTAAAGAAGGAGTGGCGCTCGAAGAGTGAATCCCAGTCCTTGGCGCCCGAAAAGATATGCTGTAGGATCTTGTCCGCTCGCCCGAACTCCTCCTTCATGATTCGCAGCGTCGATGGCATCACCGTATGTGTAGCGCACATGGAAGGAAAGGCGGGTGTGATGATGGGCATGAGGTGGGCGCGATCGCCGCCGTAGACCTGGGGATTCCACACCCGGAGACCCAAGTCGCCCTCTTCGATGTGCTTTAGCATAACAGGTCGCGGCCAGGTCCATTTGTACATCAAGCTGAAGAACTTGGAAACGATAGTAGCGCCGTTGGCCATGGGATACAGCTGGCAGATGCGCGCAACCATGATAGCCCACGCAACTCCGCCAGGGTATCCGAAGACTGCACCGTAGATGCCGCGGCGGTTTGACCAGAGTTTGATGGCCCTCAGCGCGTGTCGAAAGCTGACCTTTTGCGGCACCGCATCCAAGAGTTCGTTGGTGACTCGTGTGCCGTTCACACTCCGTGTTGCCGACTCGCCGAGACCTTCCAAATCCTTCTTCTCGATCGTCTCCATTGTTCTCGGTATCGACGATCTCTTCGGCAAGGACGCGAATAGCAGGTCTATGCTCACACCGCGATATTCCATCTTGATAATGGGGACAAAGGCATCTTCGACGGGCACGAATTCGGTGATGTCTTCGGCCTTGGACATCTCTCTGAAGGTCGGGGGGAAGTTTTTGAAGAATTCGTCGATGGTCACGAACTTGGGCGCGACAACGAGTGTATCGATATCCGATGTAGGACCGTGGACGCCGAGAGCGTAACTACCGAAGGTGAAGATCTTGCCGCCGGCGGCATCGAGGATAGGCTGCTGCACACCCTTCTGTTTGCCGACGCGACGGACAAACTCTTCGACGACCTTCTGGATGTGATCGATGACCTCCTCCCTGCGAAGATTAGCTTGGCGCGACTACGTGTTCAGGGACTGCCGTACCTTCTGCGGTTGCCCTCGGGAGTCTCGAAGACATTCTCAGTCTTCAGCGTCTCGATGAGTTTGTCGTTTAGCCGGATATCGTGTTCAGTCGGCGCGGCCTCTGATATGGCGCTGGTGACTCCAAACTGCCGGGTGGGCTTCTTCTGGCCGTCCATGGTGAAGGGTGAGAGAATCGGGGTTGAAAGGGTCGCGCGACTTCGGGGGTGCTGCGGCGAGCTGGCGCGGAAGAAGTCGCAATCGGGCGCGTGTCGGGGTGGATTGTCGTGAGAGACAGCTGGGAAATGAGTGTAATAAGAGATTCAGCGCTCCCACATGGCGACGCGACCTTTCCCGAGTTGAAGTCTGGAAAGTGAATGCACAGCAATCAGAAGTCGAGGATGCATCCGTCTTTCGAGCAGCCCGTTGCCAAGGCGCTAGAGCGCCACTGTGGCTCATCTTAGAAGCGGCGGCATTCACCCGTCGCCATCGCAACATTGGCAAACCTTGCCAACTCAACATCACCATCGCCTAACATGGCGAGACAATTACCCTTGCATCTCTCCCACAAGAGTGCGCTAGTGCTATTGCCTCCCGCTAATGTCGCTGCACCTATCGAAGGCGTCCGACGCACGCACGACAAGAATTTCGAGCGATGGCCTGCGCATATAAACCTGCTATACCCTTTCCTATCGTCACCTTCTGAAACTAGCGGGCAAGGCGAGGACTCGCACTCGTCTCTCAAGCCTGAAATACGTGTCCGTATCGCAAGAGCCGTTCGAGACATACGATCATTCCACATAACGCTCAATGCGGATCCACCCGGGTTCTTCAGCCACGGCAAAGGGGGCAGCAAAACAGTCTGGCTAGGTCCTACTACAGACAATGTCCAACGGCTTCAAGCAGTTCTGCAACAGGAATTTGCTGAAGTAAATGCAGATCGGCGGCCCTTCGTCCCTCACCTTTCTGTAGGACAGGTGAAGAGTGAGGTCCGCCTGGATGAACTCCGCACACTGATTAGAAAGAGAATAGCGGAACATCTGGATCACAGCCCAAATGATGAAGTCATGCCTGCAGCTTTGGACTGGCATGTTGATCAAGTATGTGTTATTCAACGTAATACCTACAATGATCGTTTCAAGGTAGTCGAGACTATCAAGCTGGGAAAGCAGTAGCATCGTTTGCGAGATCAGTTCTTCGAAAAGAACTCCCGGATTTGGGCATCCAACCATTTCACGTCTTCGGTCGACTGCCCTGGTCCGCCGGCCCTAAGTTGCTTGTCAGCTTCAAGTGTTCGATACATCCGGAGATGCAAACCTACCAGTGGCCCCAGATAGATGGAAAAACCCTCAATGTTCCCACGCCTGGCTTCATGTTCTGAACCTCGATTTCCGAATCTTCTGGTGGGAAATACAGATCTGTCTTCGCTGGCAGGACAAGTGTCTTCGCTTTGATACCCTTCATCGCTTTCTCAAAATCGCCATTATACGGTTCTTGCTGCGAGCAGTCACCAGCTTGCCATGTATGCGCCATGACCAGCATATTCTCTGGGTCTTTCGAGAGCGCCCAAGCTTCCCAGAAGTTGACAAGAAAGTCGTCCAGATTCTTGAATCCAAGCGTGGGTGCTGTCTCATACAGCTTTTCACGATAGAATGCTTGTGAGAACCCCCAGCCAGCATAAACGCGTCCAAGAGCCTTCAATCCGACCTCTCGGTTCGAGGATGCGAATTGCGCTGTTTTGCCTTGAGCAGCTAGAAGACTCGGCTTCGCAACTCCTGCTGAACTTGTTCCTATTGCAGCGTACAAGGCGCTCTTGACGCCTTCTAGGAAGACCTGGTTATGCAAGCTCGTCTTTGCACTTCCACAGAACGGTACCGCGAGGTCCATAAAGTCGGGGAACTGCGTAGCCCACTGGTACGTCTGTCCTGCACCCATAGACCAACCAAGGACTGCACGAGCATGCTTTACACCAAGATGTTTAGTGACGAGCTCATGCTGCGCTCTCACGTTGTCGTAGAACAGCACTTCTGGAAACGGGCGCAAACCTGGCATGTTGGATGGTGAAGATGACTGCCCGTTGCCGAATAAAGCAGGCATGATGATGTAGTATTCAGAAGGGTTTAGTGTCTTGTCAGAACCCGTCAGCCAGATGTTGTCGGAAATCGCTACATCATCGCATTAGCAGCTGTTCAGTAATGCTTAATTGGGGCTGCACATACTCCCTGAATACCATGTTGGATATATGATCGCAGGTAGCGATGGGTCACCTAATGTCTTGTAGGCGATGAAAGCGTCTGGAATCTCTCCACCCGACTTGAGCTTGAAGTTGCCCAACTTGTAGGTTTGGTAATCATCGCTTGTAGACATGCTCGTATCTAGAAAGAAGGGATATAATGTTATTTTAGGCAACTATAGGAGCGAAGGTCCATTTACCACCATCCAGAGATATGCACAATCACGCTGCCTATCTATCATCGCCATGCCCCTCAGTTCCAGCTTCCGTGGTAGACCCTGCCACTAAGCTCTGGCGTGGTTATCGTTCGTGGCGGGGTAGCTGAGAGATATGGTGGGGTACATGACGTTGACAACCCCGTCCCTTGCGGCAAATCGCCGTGTGTACCCGTCAGAATGGCCATGGCCAAACCTTCTGTACGGCCCAGAAACATATATCTTCTAGTAGCCTCGATGCAAATAGAACTTCTTAGTTTCAAGCGGCCTACCAAGGTTCCTACGATGGCGGCTCAAAAAGCCTCGGTGGGCATTCCGCGGCCGCCCCTTGTGCAATTGCAGGCTCGGAATTATATCCGCTATTTGCCGTAGAGCACTTTTTTGCGCGATTGATCATCTTTTACTAAACGGCAGTTGCACCCATACCTAGGTATCGATATAAAGACATCGTTCCCGTGATCATCAGTATAGCACAATTCTTCACCTGAATCACAACACTCAAACTCCAGACCTCATCATGGCAACCGGACGAGCAGATGCCGAAAAGGAGATAAAACGCAACCCACATGGCGACTTCAAAGCAGTCGAAGCCTCGCGCCCACCCTTCGACACATCCTCCTCCTTCCACTACACGCAAACCCCGAAACCCAATTGGACACCTGGTTCCGGTCCCAACGAGCCCTCCAGCTTGCAAAAGGCGCACCGCTCCATCAACCCCTACGAAGAAGGCCGACCCGTAGTACACAACTACAAGCTGCTCATCTCCGCCATTGTCCCCCGCCCAATTGGCTTCGTCTCAACAATCAGCGCAGATGGAAAAAGCACGAACCTCGCTCCGTTCAGCTACTTCAACCTCGTGAACCACGACCCACCAATGTTCGTCCTTGGGTTCGCGGGGGGCATGGACAAGGCTAAGGATACGCTGAAGAATCTGGTTGATACCAAAGAAGCTGTTATCAACATCATCACGGAGGAGTACGTCGAGGCGGCGAATTACACGAGCATCAATGCGCCGGCTGATGTGAGTGAATGGGCGTTTAGCGGGCTGCATGCCGAGAAGAGTAAGTTTGTCAAGCCGGATCGTGTCAAGGAGGCTGTGTTTAGTATTGAGGGAAAACTGGTGAATACTGTGGAGTGGACGAGTAAGAACCCTGCTACGCCGGATAAGAAGACGGGTGTGACTGCGTTTGTGGAGGGTGTCAACTTTTGGGTCAGGGAGGATGCTGTTGATGAGCAGGGTGTGCTTGTTGATCCTGCTGTAAGTATTGAGTGTGAAGATTGTGGGTGTTGGAGGTTACTAATGCTGGACAGGTTCTCAAGCCGATATCTAGGTTGGGCGGTATTACGTATGCGAGGTCGACGCAGGGGTTTGAGCTGCCGAGACCGGAGTACGAGGAGGTTACTAAGGATCCTGAGGTTGCGAAGTTGGCGAAGCCGAAGGGTGAAGGGCAGTAGGGAGTCTTATCGTGGCCGCGGGGCAATAGACATGTACTGTGTGCGTGGAAAGAGGGATGGCATAGACGCAAGGGTATAGACGAGTAAATACATGGCGCATACAACAAGAGATCACCTAACGGGAAGAGCGTCCTGTCGTTCGCAGCTCATAACTGTGCAGAAAAGAAGCAGAGGTATCATAACTAAAACTCGTCTACAAATTCGGATGTCGTTCCGCCTCACGTGGAAATCTCATCCCTAGCCAAGGGGAGCCCAATGAAGAAATTTAGACGACCTGCCCTGTACATCCTACTCCTCTAATCCAACTTCAACCTTTCGTCCCAACGCTTACAAGGCCATGACACCGGCGAAAGCGGCAGCAAAACCAGCGCCCATCACGCCAACTACGTTGGCCACGGCGGCACCGGTTCCGGTCGCAGACGCACTCGCACCTGTCGCGGACGCACCACTGGCACCAGCTCCAGTGGTAGTAGCAAGAGTGCCGTTCTCGCCGAGGATAGCCTGGTTGACCAGCCTCTGCACCTCTTGGTTGTACTTGTCGTAGTAGCTCTTCACATCGCTGGGAAGCGCGCTGTACCAGGCCGGTGTCTCGGAGAGGGTCTCGAGCGCGCCAACTTCGGTAACGCCGCTGGGAATCGAGTATGAAGCAGTCGCAACAAAGGATTTGAGACCATCGTGAGCGGATTTGGCGGCAGCGAGGTTGGAGGCTTGGGTGAGGGATGCGAGGCCCGTCTCGACTACGTTCAACACGGACGAAGCGTAACCGTCGATCTTAATATCGTGGATCAGCATTGATTACACAAGGTAATGGGTGGGGTAGACTGGAACATACATCGGTGAGAATGTTGAGGTTGGTGGGGAACGGTGTGGTGATGATAGCGAATTCTGCGACAGCAGTGCCAGCAACGGCAGTGAGGAGAGCGAGGTTCTTGAACTGCATGGTAACGGTAATTGCGAAAGTTGTGGAGAACGTTGGTAAAGAACAGGTGAACAGTGCCGTCTAAAGTTGAAACTAAGATCGAAGAATGACAGAAATAGCGATTGACAGAAGCAAGAGCGAGGACCTAGGAGCAACGAAACGCGTATGAGAGCAGGCAGCATCCACTTTATGTATACTTCAATTTGTGCATCAACACCCGAACGCGTATACTCCGCCACGAAACTCGGCTCCAGCGCATGGGTAATAATGTCGTGTCAGCCCGTCATCTTCGCTGTTCTTGCGCCATGCCGTGGTATTTTTGTTTTTAGTAACGAAAACCGTTGAGCGCCTTGCAGGTAAGCTGAAGATCTGTCAAACGGTGCCCCCCAACATGATCGTCAGGTCAACGCAAACCATCAATCGGGGGACCCACAAGCAAAAGATCAACGACACGCGTTCGATGTGCAAACTGCGATGAGGGCCACAATCTCAGGGTGTTTCGGATGATATTCAGGGGGGCGGTTATCTTGGATTCGGTGCGGGAATGTTTGGGACGGCCTAGGCCTCGTTTAGAGTGGGTTGCATTAGGGCCCACTTTGGCCCCGAACAAGCTTTTTCCCTCAATCGTCCCAATTAGCTGACAGCGAGGCCTCCCACTAGATCTATAAATACGCTCAACACAATTTCACAGCCTCGATATTCGAGGCGACGATTTCTCACCTAGTCTAATCAACTTCTCGTACAGCCGTCGTGGTTGTGATGCCTTCGCCGCTGGACTTCTTTCCTGTGATTTCGCGTTCTTCGCTGGAAGAAATGCTCTCGGCTTGCGCGCTGTGAGGGGGGCTGCTCTTGCTTTCTTTCCACCCTAGGAAGCCGAAACCGATGATGACGACGAGCCAGTATAGGTTGTATGAGATGACGGAGCCGTAGGTCGCGCTGTTTTGCCAGCCGAAAAGAGAGTTGAAGATACCCCAACTGAGCCGAAGTTGTCAGCGAGAGAATATCTGAATGGGAGTGCATGACTTACCCGCCATCGCCGTTTTCCAATGGTGAGCAACACTGATGTAGCAGTCAGCATACGATCTTCGGCTACTGTCAGAACAAAGACCTACGTTTACGTGCCACACACTCTTCCTGATATCGTAGCTACCAGGACCGGCACCGGCTTCTGCAGCACCCTCGCCAGCGAGCTTGACCCAGGCATTCTGTTCGAGATTCCAGACACCTTTGGAGAACAGACCCGCTGCAACCAGGTAGAGGAAGCACGTCGAGATGACGAGGAAGATTTGTAGCGAAGTCTTGTTGCCGCCCTTGTAGATGAGAAATCCGACCAAGGCACCCGCACCGAGACCACAGAGTACGGCGAGAGGGAAGCTGGTCGCTGGCGCACCGAGTCCGACACCTGCGATAAACCTGATGGACTGTTCAGCTCTGCGATGTAGAGACAAGACTGAAGTAACTTACAGCACTGCTTCGATGCCTTCGCGAAGCACAGTAACGAAAGGCAGGATGAACATGGCGTACTTTTCCGACCATCGCTTTAACCTACCCTTGATTGGTAGTTTCGAATCCTTTTGCTCCAGTACTTTGGAAATCTTCACACGCCATTTGTCTTGGAGTTTGCTAACGCGGAGCAGAGCAGCTCCCATCATAGTGATGATGACACTTGCGAGGATTGCGAAGGCGCCTTCCCAAATGTTTTCTGCAGCTTCGAAGGCATTGCGTCCAGCAGTGTAGAAGGTGCCAATGACGCCGGCGCAGATGACCAAGCAGATCAGAACACCCGCCCCAACGCCATACCAGACCTGGCGTACGAGTCGTTTGTGGACTGTCGCGTCATGTTCTGGGCCGAGGGTTTGCTTGAGGAATGCGAGGAGCACCGAGACGATGATGCTCGTTTCTAGACACTCGCGGAAGCAAATGAAGAAGACTTGATCAGTGTTAGCAATGATGGCGTGGTCTGCACCGCAAGGTGGAAGCCGACTGTTCTCGCATACATACCTGGCACAGCAAAGACGTTCGGCATCTTGAGGGACCTTGAGACTGTCAAAGTTGCGTTATTTCTTACCCTCACTGGGTATTTGATAAAGAACAAAGGACGGATCTAATCAGATGGGTGGACATGCAGCGACTCCCGAAGCTGAGGGTGGCTAACACGCGCCTGCCGTTCGTGTCGATAGCGTTAGACAAGAGCCGAAGTTCGGGCATGCACGACGACCCTGCCTCTTAATTTGAGTTTCTCCCGGTATCACGACGGACCGATCATGCTTCAGCTTTGTGCTGCGTCGGCTGCGACTCCGACTGCGATATCTCTGGTTGTCCTCTCCTGGCGATAGGCATCTACACCCAACCTCAGTCCCATTTCTCCTCTCTGTTTCCGACCACAGATGCTCCAATACCCTCTCAAACCTCCGAGTTATCTGATCCGCACCTTCACATGCCCAGCACGCCAAATCCAATCAAGACTTCGTGGCGCGGACTAGCGCAGGCTTATTGGTCCTTCGGCGCCGTCGCTTACCCCAGACCCTGGCCGATCATGGTCCAG